TAGCAGGTCGAGATCCATGAAAAGTCGTATATAAAGATGTGGGTTACCCACATCTTTATATTTGCAAAAGTAATTAAAATTGTTTATTGAGCAGATTAATCACACTGATAAACAATTGTACAAATTCTGCTGATGCATATGAACTTCTATTTAGAGACATAATTTCATTATTTTCTTTCCAAAAAACTTAATAAACGTTTACTAGCACCTCATATCGACTTTTGAATGGTGAAAATCGGCTCAGTGTAACCCATTTCATTGAGCACAAATTTTAAGTTAATAGAACATACTGCTGTTACATCTTCTAGTTTTCCCCCACCGTTGTATTTAGGTACACGCTACAGTATACACAATGAGCCTACAACTTTGCATAGCAGAGTTCCGCACGAGTGATTCAGCCCACATCTTTATTATATGTCTGAGTTAACGCATGAATGGTTTTATGGACCTTCTCGGGACTTTTTTCCTAACCACATCTTTATATCTAATTTTGCTGAGAGTTCCGCTTGAACAATTTCGTGGACATTTTGCATTGCAGGGTTTATAATGTATTGAAATGCAAAATCTAGGAAGAGAAGCCAGCAAGCTTACTCTCCGGAGTTTTAGAAGTTATTTTATTTTTTATTTTTATATTATTTTGCTTTTTAAGCTGCGCTGCTGGCACCTAGCTATTGTAGTCTTGCTTGATTGTGTATTGTCTTTTTTTATCTTAAAATAAATGAATGATTGTTAGATAGGATAATTTATATGAAAGAATAGTGGTGGTGGTGCTGTTCTTTATATTTGAAAACAGAGACCTGCATATGAAAAATGAAAACTCAAAACAAAACCATTTATATTTTACGCATAAGTCGAAAAAAAGGCCAAAGCAATGCTCTAATCAAAGTTTTATAGTAGTTAGGCAGACGGAGCACCAAAGTGTAAAAAAATTACTTACAAAGCGATTTTTGTTGGAAACTGTTGATATCGACCTGAAATACCACCAAAAAAAAAGTTGGATGGATTTCGGCCATGGGAAAATTTTTTTATGACCTTTTACCTAAAAAGGGTAATTCTATATATAGTAGCAATGTGGTGGGGGTAGAATAGATACGGTAGCCATATCTTTTCCTAAACCCGTAATACATGCATTTTTAAGTATAAAATATCATTGTTCAGTACCACTACATTTTTTTTATCAAGGGTTATGCAAACATATCATTAATGATGTCAGAAACGGTCAAATGCCATTGCAACAAATTGGCCCATCCCTTAACAAAGCAATGGATTATGTACATTCCTTTTGAAGTTCCTGCTTCTTTTCTCTAAACAAAGTGTTTTATGGCTCATTAAATCTTAAATTTTTATAATAATTTCACAATGGCGTCCAAAGATGGCCGACATACATTTTGCATAGCTATTATTCAGTAACAA